ATAAGCTGTACAACACTTATTAAATAATATATTTACTAGTTATATGAAATCATGGTAAGGAAGGTATCTGGAAACCTAGGCCAATTTCTTTTCTGGGCTGAGGCTCTTCTATTTCTCCAATTTCAGAAATACGCACATTGCTGATACGAGACAAACAGGACCTACAATCATCCTTAGCAACTACAAATTAGCCACCGCTAAGTATTTTGTGGTTTGTTTTTTTTTTTTAATCTTAGGCTTTCATGTAGTTTATTAGACTAAGCATAAAATTTTTCCCTTAAATGTAAGAAAATTTCCATGTATCTGAAACTGAGAAGTCAGACTGTTGCCTTTTGCATCATTTAAAGAGTTCAACGCTAATTATCAGTCTTTTTTTTTTTTTTAATTGCCTAAGAAGTTCCCAATTTGCATGAATAGTCCAAAGATCTTGCTGTACATAAGATCTTGCTGTGTTGTGGCCTTTCTAGCAGATTTTGAAAACTAAACTCAACCATTCACCAGACCTGTACCCTTCCCAGGAGGTGACACTGAAAAGTTCATTTAGTTCTAACTACAGGCTTGACCCTGCACTCTAACACAACTTCTTTGGATATTGGAAGAGAGCAAGAGCAGGTATTAGTTGCAATTAAACCCCAGCATTTTTGTTAATATTATTGCTCTGCTGACTCAAGCATAGCTAAATTGATTAACCTCTGATAAAACTCTTCCTGTACAGACAGGCATAAACACATTTTGGGAGAGCAACCTGGTCTGAATGGAACTCCACTCATAGAAGGGTACTAAATTTTTAACATGTAAGGCTACAAAAATATTCATTTTCCACAGTGAAATAACTGGAAGATTTTCTGCGATGAGTAAGCACAGGTTGCTGCAGTAGACCATAAAATATGTATCTAACTAATTCAAGATTTTACAGACTTAATAAAAGCAAAGAATTTTTTCTTCCAGTGTGTGTTTGTCTGATATCTGAATTACTTGCTTAAAGATTATTTCTTGTGGAAAAAAAGCTAACAAATAATTTTACCACCATTATTATGTAGCAAAGGATCACAAAAAAAACCCAGAGAAACTATTAACTAAAACTTAATAATCCAGATAGGAAATCTGAAAGTTTTTCTCCTGATAATGGTACTTTTCTCCTTGCCCACTCACAAGGTCAGAAAGAACATCTACTGGATGAAGCGTTGAATGAATGCTAAAGCACACAAAAAAATCTAACATCTCAGGCAGTTAAAAGGCACTGCAAATTTCATTTGCATGCAGATTATTACATTGTTACAGTCACTACCGTTACCTTCTTCCAGATTTACATAATGTATAAAACCGCACAAGTTCCTTCTCCAAGTTATCACACTGAAATTCACTGCACTAAATATTCTTTCACAATAACAAATTTTCAAGATCACCTCCCCAAACTTCTATTTCTCCTATGCTTCACTCTACTTTTACTTAAGCCTAACTTACAGTTTAAGGGCAGGAATGAGTTAAGGGGTCTTATATTTTTTTCAGTGACTTGAAGAAAAAGGAGGAGAAAGAAAAATATTTGTTGTGAAAATACCAATCAGTGTAAAAAGAGTAAACAGATAGGCTTAACATGGGAGTTTGAATTCTTGCTATAGTGCCCTGTTATATTTTTACTTACTATTTAAAAAAAAAATCTCCCTGTTTAGTTTGAAGTTAGTATGGGAAGGAGGTGTAAATGAATACAAGCCACAATGTGGTTAGAGTTACTTAAGCATTGAAAATGCAATAGTGCCTCATGTTTATTATTTTATCACTGTGCAGAAATCTCTCTTTTTGACACTGGACAATAGCAGGTTTTCCTAAATTCCCAGTGGAAATGCTTTACATTTTAACTGTATGTTTTTAACCTATAGTTCTACTTATTTCATTCCATTGACGCCTGATGCATAATAAACTATATACTCTAAGTGTCATGTTATTATTTTGCTGCTCAAAATACCGTATCTCCTCTGAAACTTCACTTTGACAAGCATGTCAGAAACTGTACGGTATTGTGAGAAGAAATGATAGCTGGTGGATGGCCAAAACTGTATTTTGTCTGATTTTCTGTATCATGAATAGTCTAATTAGGAAAAAAAGTTATTGTTAAGAAGTGACATCTTCAGCTCTGAGATAAAACGGAAAAAAATGAGGGAAACTATTTCAATTGCTGCGATAATCAAATTCTTTTGTGTCACTCCAAATACATGCATAAACATTTCCTCACAAATCCACTTGTTAAAATTATTTCTCTCTTTTCTCCCCTGACTTGCACTATGACAGTAGTCATCAAGCCTGATAACTGTCCTTAGCATTCTCAGTGTAGCCAAGACTACCACCCCTTCCTTTAGCATAGAACTCCAGCTTTTTGCATACTATTGTCTGCACCCCGGGAACTGTGACTTTCTAAATTACTTCAGCAATAAACTTTGATAAAGGGAAATGTTCTCACCTAAAATTGCAGTTGGCACAAATGGATCTGTCATACATCATAAGCAGGTCAATGCAGAAAAGGTAAAAAGAGAGAGAACAGTAAATGATTGATAAATGTTCCCAAGTTTTCTTTCAGAAAGCTACTGTAAGCAACCAGTATGTTGCTTATATAGGTATTACATTTCTATGGCAGGGAGTATAATACCATAATTATATACACTTTTATTATTAAAAGGTCTGTAAAGGGTGGAAACCAAGAAAAAATCGGTTACCTGGGTAATAAGAATTAGGCACTGTTGTGCTCAATGTGTTAGTTTTCATTGTAAATGAAGATGGTGAAGATACAGCTGCAAAGAGAAACAAAGCTGGTTAGAGACAGCGAAGTGATATGTGGCTATTTGAGTTGAGTGACGTGATTGACTTGGTTTACAGTCTGTCCTGTTGTGTTTGCTGCACTGGAATCAGGACTTAGGGAAAACCATGTGTGTCTAGTGAATAAAATGGCTCATTGAATTTGATCACTTCTCTGAAAAGAAATGCCATCAGAGAAAGCATTTTGATTGGTGATGACAAATATAATTCTTAAATCACAAGATTAGACTGAATACTGATGCTTGAATAAAGACATCACAACAACAACAGGTGTTTTTGACAGAAGCTTTGATCATTAATAAGTTTACTTAGTAATACTGTAAATACTGTATGCAAATATTCTACTATAGTTAATTTTTTCCTCTCCTTTTTTTGATTTGTTCAGACAGGTGGATAATGTGTACACAGATACTGTTATGCCCTAAATGTTACTCTTTGTTTAATGATGGTTTTCAGGGAGTCACACATAGACCAATGCATCATTTCATCATTTGTAAAACCTATGGGGAAGCGTAATACAACAAATTCAGTTTGGTTAGTTCCCTGGTATATAAAGATCATGCGAATCACTGTTGTGAGCACAGATATAGTCAACAGGTGGGAGTTAACTGCACCATTTTACAGGACGTTCAGCAAAAGTCATTAAAGGTTTTTAAGCAAAGCTCATTGAAAGTTCAGTCTTAGTTGCTTGTCCACACAGCTCAAATTCAGTCGGATCAGTGAATGTAAGTACATTCTGGATACCTGTTAACAGACTAACAGGTATTTGTGAAACAAAAGTAGAATTGGACAGTATCTGCTGGATGAGAAGGAGTGAGACTACTCCTGCTGGCTTTCATCCATCTTTTTTTTTTGGTTGATCTAGGGCATACAGTTGCCAGCCCTTGTTAAGATGGAGCAATCTGAAAACTGGCTTAAATAATGCTGGCAGTTATCACTTATCCTATAAATGAATATATACCTGAGACTACTTTGCTGTGATTACATCTCCTGAATTACTGCATGGAAGGAACAGAGTGGTATTCCTTTTGAGTATGGATGCAGAGATTAGTTCAGGTCAGGGATGCTGCAGCTAAAAAAACTGGCTAGATTCAGAATGCAGCCAGGATAATAAACTTTCATAGGAAGTAGGAATGTTCTAAATCTCTGGAGCACAAGGCCTTACACAAAGATTATTCCTAAAGACTGTCAGACTGCTTCTCCTGGTGACCACATCTCTTATGGAAAGTCTAGTTAGAGGTTGTAGTCCTCAAGTGGTATAAAATACTTGCTATGCCAACTATTTCAAATTGGTTTAAGGTACTTCACATAAAGAGGATTTAGCCCCAGGAATTCACTCCAGCTTCTTTGGTCGTTGTGACCATTCAGTAACACCATTGGAAAACTACATCTTGATGATGGAAGATGAAGTCAAACCTCTTGATCTCTTCACAGAAGTAAGCAATCTCATTAACTGCAATGGTATATTCTCACCGGAAAGGCAAGTCAGATTTTGAAAGATCTATTTCAAAGCAATTTCAAAAGTAACTCAAATGCAAATTAACGTTGCAAATTCTGAGCCTAATGCTGTTGAGAGAATTCTCACTGTATAAAATGCACAGAGTGTTGTTTGTACAATTGAACTCGTCAAAGATAAGTGCTTAAGCATATTATTAAAGAGTTGGGCCTCACATACTGTTAGTACTTGAAACAAAATTCTATCTTCAACAAATTCTGAAGATGTTCAGAAACACTGGTATACAAGAAAAAAATAAGTTTCCTTAAGAACTACAAAAAACAAGAGAGTTTTTTAACATAGTAATTCTTTTTTTCATTCTTTTTAACAATTACAAAAACCTACTGTTTTTCCTGGTCTTTGCTTAGTGCTAACCCCCAGACAGGAATGAGTACTTGACTAAAATTCTAATGAAGGTAATTTTATATCCCAAATTTTATTTATTTTCAGGGCAATTCCAAGACGACCCAGGATACTAGAGAATCTCTTATGAAATTGCAGAACAGATTAATTCCACTGAGTTCTTCCTTTGCACAAGCAACAGAAAGAGCATCATCTAGAACTGGAAATAATAAGACAATCAGATCACCATTATTAAGTTATGATATTCCAAAATAAATTTTGCCTACAAAAAAAGAAGCGAGCAGAGGAAGCATTTCAAGGACTTGGGACAGCATGAGGGATATAAAATTTTTAACATAATAGAGATTGGAGAAAGGTAAAACTACAGCTGTTTCAGTAATGTCTTTGCTCTTCTGCAGAAAAAAGGGATGGACAGAAAAAAGCTCAATTATCGTTATTATTTTTAAAGAAGTCTGTTCTTGATGTCTCTCTTGCTCATTCAAATACACACTATAATGTGCTGCACAGTGGGAAACTCTGGGTCTCATGGATTTTCCATGACTGAGTAACAAAGAATATTTTAAAAACCATTTGCACCTTTCTTCCATCTTCCAAAAAAAAAAAAAAAAAGAAAAGAAGAAACTTACATCTCCCATTTAGATTGTGCGTGTCCATGAAAGAGAAAGCTTCGTCACAGTTGGTGCCTTGCTCCGTGTAGCTTTTATCCATTGAATTCACCATCACTGTCATTTCCTGCCGTGTACTACTCAATGTCTCTTTCCGCTTTTTAGCCAATTTCCTTAAGAAACGAATGTTGAGAAAACAAAAGAAAAAAACCAACACTCAGTGAGTAGGTATAGTCTTCATATTGTTTAGATCAGTATCGTGGTTTGTAACCACATTATTAAGCAACATATTTACAATTATTCCTGCATGTCTGGTAACTTAAATTGATTTCACACTCATGTCTTTCAACAGCATCTGATAATCAGGGGATACTTGACTTACGCTGAACAGCACCTTAACCTTTGGGAATCACCACTGCATTAAAGGGGACTACCTGGACACAAAGGTGATGTGAGCTACTCAATCAGAGGCTATATCTGTTTAAGTAGATAAATGAAAAAGATAGGAGAGAAGGTTTCACTGGAACTGACAAATCAGTAACAATTTTCACTTCACATGCATAGAACTGTCTGGAGCTGTTTCACTGAGACATGATCTAATACAGCGAACTGGTTTACATCATACTGTGTAGTATATGTTTGATCTCAACACATTTTGCACAAGCAAGTGGTATTTTAAACTGACTTGCATTTCTAAAGACTATTTTCTGTCACTCTTGATTTCAGGAGAATTAGTCACAAGAGTTAGTTGCTTCTCAGCAGGAGCAGTCTGTCAGAGACAAGATCTTGATTCTGATACTATAATATGATTCATTAAGCTATAGAACTGCTTTGGATGCATATACCTCTTTTTTCCAGATCTGTCTGTTTCTGTCTAAACTAAAACCTCACTCTGTCTCCCCCCGAGTTATGCTTAGCTACCATCACAAACCAACATGTCCAAAACTTTTGATTTTTCCTTCAAGCTCTGGGAGACGTCTGTGATCCTGGTGATGGTGGATCCCATGCCCATTTGGTTTGTTTCCCCGGCCTCCGACTCTGTCTTAGACCAAGCCTTTCCCTAAGTCCTTGCCTACAGCCTTCATTTACATTTTCCAGATTCCTACTGTATAGTATCTTCAAGGTATGGGTTATACACAGGAATAACTGCTCCACAGACTTTGATCTTCTCATATCTGTTTGTTCAGCACTTTTCCTCTGTGGAAAACATAATGAGCCAACTCATATCCATCCAACAGAAAGATCTTTTAGATGTCTTCCACCAGAACTTACAGGAGCTTATTATCTCATCTATGTTTCCTCCCACTTCTAGAGGCTTACTGCATCAAGCATAACCAGCTTGGGCTAACTCTCAAAGCCTTTCTCTTTGTTAACTCTCACACAGCATGAAAAAATTCCCACCAGAAACAAAAATGTTATACCAGCCTCCACTAGATTTTCAAACAAGCACATGTTTGTCTTCCCTCACCCTGCATGGGAGGAGCTTTCTGTAAATTCCCCTACCGGTAACTCACTATTCTGCTTCAAATCACTGCCTGCAGACACACTTTGCAAAGTACTGATACTGCTGCTCACTATGCTCATCAGTATTGCCTCAGAGTCTCCCCATGTTCCCCATCTACCTACGTGTTGTCTCGCATCTTACACCTAGATAATAAGCCATTTGGGCAGGAGCTATGGTTGTGTTCTGTACTGACATAGTACCAAGCTCAGCAGTATCTTAGTCCATGACTAAAGGTCAAAAGGCCTTTGAAATGAAAGTCGTCTTGTTAATAGAAGTAGTAATTGTAAGCGCAGGCATGGTACTGGCATGGTACTGCATACAAAAGTATTAAGGGTCACATTTGGGCCTCAATAAGGTGCTGGATTGCCACTCCACTCATGGGGGCATGTCCCCATGACTGAAAGGGATTGAAGTACTCTGCCTTAAAAAGCTCCTACAGTGTCTGCAGTAACGAGTAGTGTGTACCTCTTCATTCATCCCAGCTCAGAAGTTACCTGCCTTAGCTTGAGCCACCATGAACACACTCTAGACTGTGACTAATGCTGAGAAAGAGAACGTTTATGGTCAGTTGGATGGCAGCCACTTGTGGGACTCTGTACTACACTAAGCGTTTAGATGTGCAACAAAAACTCATCCATAAATGCTCATTGCTAGGGATTTCAAAATTCACTAATG